CCCTGAGCTTACAATGGCCGTACTGGCTCAGACCAAAGGTCCATCTAGCCCAGTAGCCTGTCTGCCGACAGTGGCCAACCCTAGGGACCCTGGAGGGGACGGACCGAAACAATGACCAAGCCATTTGTCTCATGCCATCCATCTCCAGCCTTCCACAAACAGAGGTAAGGGACACCATTTCTACCCCCTGGCTAATACCACTCCATGGACCCAACCTCCATGACTTTATCTCACTTCTCTTTAAACTCTGTTCTAGTTCTAGCCTTCACAGCCTCCTGCAGCAAGGAGTTCCACAGGTTGACTATTTGCTTTGTGAAGAAGAACTTTCTGTTATTAGTTTGCCCGCCAACCTGAAAAGGTTGGGGACCACTGCTTTAGCCTCTCTTCATATGGGACCTGTTCCAAACCCCTGATCATTTTAGGTGCCCTCCCCTCTCCCACCCTCTCTCTTCCCCTCTCCCACCTCCTTTTCTCAGTCTCCCTGAGTGTTGTTCAATAAAGAGAGTTTCTATTTTTGAACACACGTGTCCTTTATTTTGTACATCAGAAAGGGGGGCTAGGGACGGGTAATTGGAAGGAGGTGAGGGAGGAATGGGGTACGAGCCCCCGATGGGGAGGACTGGGCTGGTTCTGCGGGCTCCTCGGGTGGAAGCTCTCCTGCAGCCCCCCAATTGACCCCCCCCGGATGGCAGCCTGCGGCAAGTGCAGCCGGGCTGATGGCCGAGTGCTGTGACGTGCCGAGTGTGGGCAGTCAGGGCACTCCAAGCCAGGACTGCTTTGCTGTCCCTCATTGAGTTAGACAAGTGAGCCCCCGATAACTATCTGTCCGGGGTGGGGATTGGGTCCCTTTAAGCACAGCCCTCGGCTAGCCTGAGACAGGAGCTCCACGCTCTAAGTCCTAATCTGATGCCCTGCCGGCACTGCTTCCGGCCAGCCTTAACCCTGGTTCAGGGTCCACTCAGTGTGGACATGCTAGTTCGAATGAGCAAAATGCTAATTCGAACTAGTTTTTAGGTCTAGACGCACTAGTTCGAATTAGCTTAGTTCGAATTAACTAATTCTAATTAAGTTAGTTCGAATTAGTGCTGTAGTGTAGACATACCCTGGGTTAGGCTAAAAGGGGTTAAAAACAAGGGGGATGTCATGCTAGGAGTCTGCTACAGGCCACCTACCCAGGTGGGAGAAGTGGATGAGGTTTTTTTTAAACAACTAACAATAACATCCAAAGCCCAAGATTTGATGGTGATGGGGAACTTCAACTATCCAGATATATGTTGGGAAAATAACACAGCTGTCCCCTCAGTGTCCACAATGGCCCTGGTCACTACAAACAGCTTCCAGGTCTGCAGGGGTTCCTGGTAGAACTCCGGCACCTCTGAGGGGTCTTGCGGAAGACCTCTCGGGTGAAGAAAAAAGAGCTTCAAGTTGTATCGGAGCCCTCAGAGGTGGTGGAGGAAGGCGTGCACCAATGTGTTCCACCCCGGACTACCTGCACTATAAAGCAGTCTCTGTGGGGTCTGGAGTGGAAAGTCTGGACCTGGCTGCACATGCAGGCCAGGCCCTGTCCCCCCACCTCCAGGGGGAGACACAGGACCCCTACAGAGAGCCAATGCAGTCCTGCCCAGAAGAACTCCAGGGCTAGCCTCTGGATTCAGGATAGGACCTCCGGGGCTGGGCTCAGGATATTGAGCTGGTGACAGAGCATATACAGGACCAGTTGGTTCAGCACCAGTGCTTTCCTTCACAGGGAGACACACTGGGGCTGTTCTGTCCATCTCTGCAGCGGCTCACCCACCCTGGCCTCCAAACCCTGCCAGTTCTCCAGTGGGAAGGGATGCGTGGTAGAAAGAAAAATGCCAAGATAGCGCAACAGACTAGTGCTCCACCTGATGGCCTGAAGTGTGGGTGGGAGGGAGCCTACCTGCCATCTGTCCCCGACCACCAGTCCAGAGCTCTGACATAGTTGATCCGGATGGAGGAGGTCACTGAGTAGACAGCTTGGAAAGCCTCCACCCTCACCAGGTTGCCCGGGTCCTGGACCATGTAATCAGCATATGCCAACAGGACCAGCCGCAACTCTGGCTCTTGGAGCAACAACCCCGTCAACCTCCAGGCCAGGAGACAGTGGAAGGGCTCAATCGCCAGAGCATACAGCTGGCCTGACAGCAGACACCCCTGACGTACTCCCCGCCCAAAGCTGACCAGCTCAGTTAGGGTCCAGCTGAGTCTGACCAAACACTCTGTGGAGGCCTAGAGCATTTGAAGAAAGCCCTCAAAATGGGGCCTGAAGCTGAAGGCCTGCAGAGTGCACAGGAGATACCCGTGGTTCACCCTGTCAAAAGCCTTCTCCCGGTCCAGGGACAGGAGGGCAAATGACAGACCATCTCTACACCCAAACTCCAAGAGATCCCAAACCAGATACAAATGATCAGAGATGGTGCAGCTCAGAGTTGGTGTAGATCTGGTCGGGATGGACTACCTCCACCAGCATGGATGACAGCCGCAGCGAAATGGATTTTGCTATGACTTTGTAGTCCATGCTCAGGAGTGAGACAGGATGCTAGTTCCGAAGGTCGAGGACAGCCCCCCTCTTCAGTAGCAAAGTGAGCATGGCTCACCTGCACAACAGAGGGAGGACCCAGCTCTCCAAGGACTCGGCCCAGATGATGACGAGGTCTGGGCTGAGGACATCCCAGACCATGTGGTAGAAC